TGATTTATGTTTTTTGCTAGGCATCTTTTTTTTCAACAGGATCATGTCACATAGATGACCCATTGACATTCACAACATTCACAGTCATGTGTGAAAAAAAGTTTGGTGAATGACCATCACCCAAACAACAGAAGCATGGTGAGTGTAACTGGTGAGAGATACTGATTGAAAAATCTTGTGAATAGATGACCCCCATGCTTGGGGTCAAGCTTGGCATTACTTGATTCAGCACTGGTCTTCAAATCTATCATAATTCTTGCTGCAACTTGCATTACTAGTACTATTTCCAGGACTTAGTTAAACATTAGTATTTTCTCAGTAGTTGATGTTGAATTTGGTTGGAGTTGACTTCACAAACCAATCTGTTTTACATTCTAGATAACTAACACAATTCTACCATATACCTAGCAATCATTTCACCAGGAGGATAGAAATGAGGCACAATCATGTAAGGTTTTGGTATCTCGCCATTTAATCACACAGGACTGGGAAAGTTTTTTGGGATAGTTTCTGTAACAGGCATAACCTGAAACACTGATACTACTTAAGAACACAGCAAGTTCTATTTCTCTATTAACAGTGTCATTTGCAATGAAATATTGCATGAAATAGTCTTGGTAGTATTCAATTTTCAATATGAAACTCATCAATCCTTCTAAATCACAAACAGGTAGCTATATCAAGTTATGGTAGAAGCAGTGAAAAAGTAAACAAAATCATTGAATGAAAGACTGATGAAGGATACAAAATATCAATAAGCACATTAACATGTAGAATAATAAAATAATTTATTCAAGTATATGGTGCATTGTGTTAATCAAAGGCTTGTTTCTTAATACATAACTATTTTAGCCATTAGGCATGGAAATGATTTCACTAACCAATGTATTTGTTATGGTCCGGTTCCTTGTACCACGGTGATAGTCCAAGGTAGAACCAATAAAGAAGTACTCGAACACAGGTATGGATATGGATATATTACAAACAGGAATATATACAGAGAAGTAGAAAGTGTTAGTACGAACAATCAGGTTTAGTAAGGAGAACAATGTAGTCTCGACCAGTATCACTATTCCAATGTCTTGTAGTAATTGTCTGAACGCGACTCTGTTTCGGACTGCCTCTGACTCGACTGACTGACTCGCACGCTCTGACGGACTGACTGACTGACAGACACCTGACAGACTTCAATTCAGACTTCAGACTGAACTCCCTGCTTCCTCTTGAGGTGCAGTATTTATTACATATGGAATAGTCCATTATGTTATGGGTATGGTCCCATAACAAAATTGAACCCGTATAAACGGGTTCAGGGTCGGTTTTACCTCCCGAAGATTACTAAGCCAAATAATTAAATTGAATTTGTAAATTGCCGAATTTTCAGTTCAACCGATCAGGCATGGTGAACAACTTTGATCGAAAAAAAAAATCAGAAAAAGAGGGCAGTAAAAAGTTTGGAATAGTTTTTGAATTAAAATGAAAAAAGAAATATCCAATTTGAAAAATTTTTAAGAATTAAAAGAGAGCAAAGAAAGAAAAAGAGCTGGAAAAGGAAGGGTAAAACGAAATATAAAATAGAATTCCTGGCTAGAAAAAAAAAAGAAGCCACCATTTGATTAACAGAGGTATGGTGTTCTCATTGCTATACTTGTCATGTTTTTCATAAGGAATTTCAGAACATCAATTCTTGCTTCTGAGCTGCCTTTCTAATGTACTGGCACTATCTGCCCCAGGAACTGAACTAAGAATTTTCAGTGAATAAAGCAACATCCCCAGAAGCTTACTTGTATACAACAGATATATGAGAACGGTTGGAGAGTAGAGCAGCTAAAACAAATAAAGATGACAAAGATTAGAAATTGGTCTGGATGAAATCAATGTACAATAGTAACAGTACCTCTTCTCAGAGTTACTGACAAAAAATAAATTCGCATATAAAAATGTTATAAATGCTTTAAGCCCAGGTCAGTAATTAAAACAACTGTTTATAATAAGGAAAATTTTTTTAAAATGTCAACAGTAAATTTTTGAAAAAAGAAATTTTTTTTTGAATTTTTTTATCAATTTACTATATATATATACAAAATGAAATGATGAGTGTCAAATCTATTGAATTATATTAGATTGAAGTCAGTGCATATTTGCCATACATGAAAAGGAATGGTAAAAAAAAAAAGAGAGGACAGAAAAGACATATCCATTTATGAAGCTGCAAGGAAATAAAGAAAAACATTTTGAGATTGTAATATAAATGTGAATAAAAATAAAAAGTGCTATGGCTAAGTGAGTCTGGAGATTACTTCAAATGTCAGCAAAAAAGAACACAAAGAAAAACAAAACTGTAATTTTGCTAAAAAAAAATAAATATGAAAGGTAAAAATTTGAAAATAAAAGAAATGAAAATAAGATGTCCAAAGAATATGAACCAAGTTTTTTATAAGATGAAATACAGAAAAAAGAATAATGAAAAATTTAAGAAATAGAAGGAAAGAAAAAACAAAGAAAACAAAATGGAAAGCCAAAAGATTTATGAAAAGAAAATCTTAAAAAAAAAGGAAATTTTACAAACGAAAAACATATATAAAAATAGTTGAAAACAAAGAAAACTGAAGAAAAATGAAATATAAGAAATAGAAATTGAAAAAAGTGTAAAATTGGTAAAAAAAAACAAAAAACGATAAAAGGTTTTTACTGAAAGTTTTGAGGAAGGAGTTTCTAGCTTTTGGATTTTCAATGAAACCATTGCACAAAGACTCTCTGATTTTCCAAATAAAATTAAAATAGGAGGTTTGACATCATTGGGTTTATTTTCTGTAGTTTTTATTATTCCCGAAACTTCGAAAAAATATTAAATATCTGTCCAAATTTTTGTTCTGTCAATAAACATGTAATTTAATTTAAAGAGTTATTTTAATTCAAAAATGAAAAAATTCAAGTTAAGAGCTGAATTAAACCATTGGATTATTTAACAAATAAAATTAAAAATTTTTTACACTATCAAAAAAGATTTATAAAAAATAAAAAAAGAAATGATTAAAATTCCTTATTTGTTTTTCATTTTAGATAATAAAGACATTTTGATTTATTTTATTTATATATATTAATTAAATGAATATAGATGATATATGATAATATAAAAATATTAAAAGTGAAATGAATAATCTTACAAATAGACAGATAAATCTTAATGCAGAACATCTTCAGAATACATTTGAGAAAGACAGTATAAATATATTTTTTATTAGAAATGATCCTTTAGAAGATTTTTAGATAGACAAGAATAGATATTTTTGCAATTTTTTCACAAAAAAAAAATAGATATAGACAATTTATTTATGAGAAAGACAGACAAGAATTTCAAATGAGAAAGACATTATTTTAAACAGACTAAGAATAGTATTAGATTTGATTGATAGACAGAAAGATGGAGCAACCAAAACTTAAGACAAAAAAGAAAAGCATATGAGATAGACAGATAGTTAATTATAATTTAGATAAGAATGATAGATGAGATAGAAGTTTTGAATAGGAATTAAATTATTTTTTAGAATAGACAAGAACAGGAATTTGAATTGATGAGGATGAACCTTGAAAAATTTTTTTAGAAAAAAATAATTAAAATATATAATGAAAAAATATGAATGGAAATCAAATCAAATATTTGGGATTTTTCGGAGGAAAGGATCAAAATAGATAGATTAAAACATTTAATTCAAGAATATTTTTGATAGATAGAAAAATACAAGAATAGAATAAGCAGGACCATTTACTTTAGACCCCAGATTGAGCGAAGATAGATAAATAAATGAAAGATGGTTGAAGAAAATTGTAGTTGTTTTAGTCAATTGTTAGATTAATTTTAGACAAGATTTTGAAAATTTATTTAGCTTTGCAACAGAATTATTTTAGAAATCCATAATGGAAATATATGAAATAAAAATATATATCTTTACACATTCCATTGTTATAAACATTTTTATTTTTCAGATTTGTAATTTTAAATTTAACAGATCCATTTACGACAACAAAGTAATAAAAGAATTGAGCAGGAGATGGACAAAATGTTACAAATTTAGATCTAGATTCAATGGCAAGAAAAAAAATATTTTTTTTAAAATAACATTTTTTTTTTTTTAATGATAAGATTGACAAAGACATATGAACAAAATTTGTCCATAAAAATTTGATTATATTCAGGACAGAACTGAAACACTAAGATAGACATTCATAAAGAATAACTGAATTCCATCTGAAATACACATCAAAAATAAACTAAAGGTAAAAACGAAAATTCAACTGTTTAAATTTAGATTACAGAGGTCATGATGTCCCACTGTCTTGAAAGAACATAATAGAAAAAGAAAAGAAGAATACATTTATAAAAGAAAAGAAATGATAAGATTAGTTAAATAGAATGAATTTACAATCGATAAAATATTTTGAGAAATGGCATGAAGAACAGATGCTTTCGAGAACAAGATGAGATAAGAAAGAATATCAGAATTAAATGAATGGACTTTGAAATGAAAGAGATTTTTATGAACAAAATAGAAAATTACAACAGATAAAGTAAAAATGAACAAATTAATGAGAAAATTGAAAATACAGAACAAAAATGATGAAATAACAGAGAAAAATTATGACTGAGGAAGATTTATATTAAAAGAATAAATAGACATGAAGAAATCAGATAAACAAACAATAGACTGAGATAGACAAACAAGAATAGAGTGAGATAAGACAGAAACAAAAGAGAAACAAAAGAGAAAGAAGAATAGGAACAAAATAGATAGACAAGAATGAAATAGATAGACAGAATTTGTTTTGAGATAGAATAAAAATTATTTAAAATTAGATGAAAAATGTTTTAAAGATATATAGAATATGTAATATAATGAGACAAAAAAAGATAGAAGAGATATATAGATACAAATGAACAGCTGAGATAAAATCAGATAATACACTATTGGATAGATGATTGTATGAGAAAGAGAAAGATTTTAGATAGAATAGAGAAATGAGATAATTATGAAAAAAATAAAAATAGATAGATAGATAGATATAAGATAGATAGACAGAAAGAAAGATATATATATATAGAGAGAATAGACTGAAATAGAAAGAAATGAATAGATAGATAGATAGACAAGATAGAAGATAGATAGATAGATAGAGAATAGACTTATAACAAGAAGATAGAAAGATAGATATGGAATGAACTAGATAGATAGAAAGATAGATAGATAGATTTTGAACAATGAAAAACTGAATTGATAGATACTATAGCTAAAAAGATAGATAGATAGAAAAAAATAGATAGATAGAAAAGAAGATAGAGATATAAACAGATATTTAGATAGATAGATAAATAGATAGATAGATAGATAGATAGATAGATAGACTGAGAGAGATAAATAGAAAGATAGATAGATAGAATGATCAGAAAATAGAAATAGATAGATAGATAGATAGATATTGAGACTGAGAAAGGGAAGAATGATAGATAGATAGATAGATAGATAAGATGAATAAATAGATAGATAAATAGATGAGATAGATAGATCAGATAGCTTTAGATAGATAGACAGATAGATAGATATTTAGACAGAAATTTCTGAGATAGAAAAAAACTGAGATAGATGGAAGATAGACTGAGATAAACAGACATTTTTTAGACAGATAGATAGACAAATAGATAAGAAGATAGACAGACAACACAGACTGAGATAGATAGAAAGATTTTAGAAAGATAGACAGATAGATAAGAACAGGAGACAAGAATAGATTTTTAGAAAACAAGAATAGAATTATAGACAGACAAGAATAGACTGAGATAGACAGATAGATAGACAGATAAGACAAGAATAGAATGAGATAGACAGACAAGAAAACTGAGGAGATAGACAGACAAGAATACTTTGAAACTCAAGAAATATATATTTAGGAATTAGACAGACAAGAATCTTAGAGACATAGATAGAATAGTCTTTAGACAGACAAGAATAAAAGAAAGACAGATAAAAAGATAGATAGACCAAGAATAGAATGAGATAGACAGGAGAATAGACTGAGACAGATAGACAAGAATAGACTGAGATAGACAGATAGTTAAGAACAGACAAGAACCAAGATAGAATGAGATAGATGAAACAAGATAGATAGATAGATGAGATAGTTAAGAAACAGATTAGACAAGAATAGAATGAGATAGACAGGACAAGAATAGACCGAGAGAGACAGATAAAGGAACAAGATTCTAGGACAAGAATAGACTGAGATAGACAGATGGAGAACAGAATGAGATAGGAGACAAGAGTTAGGACTGAGATAGACAGACGAGAATAGACTGAGATAGATAGATAGTTAGATAGACAGATAGACAAGAACAGAAGAGAGATAGACAGAGATATAGAAACAGATTGAGATAGATAGATAGATAGAGATAGATAGATAGTTAAGTTAGATAGATAGATAGAATAGATAGATAGACAGATATATAGATATATATATAGATATATAGATAGAGAGACAGACAAGAATAGATTGAGATAGATATATATATTAAGATATGAACCTAGATGAGAAAAATAGACAGAGATAAATAGACAATAGATTTGAGATAGATATGATAGATAGATAGATAGATGGAAAAAATGAGCTAGATTGGATAATAGATAGAATGACATAGATAGATAGATAGATAGATATATATATAGATAGATAGATAGATAGATATAATAGATAAATATGAGATAGATAGATAAATAGATACATAGACTATGAATAAAATAGATGAGATAGATAGATAGATAGATAGATAGATATGAAAGATATATAGATTAGATAGACAGACAGATAACAGATGAGATAGATAGATAGATAGATAGATAGATAGGATAGATAGATAGATGAGATAGATGAGATAGATAGATAGATAGATAGATAGAACAGATAGAAAGATATAGATAATAGATAGATAGATAGATATGATAAAAACGGAGATAGATAGAATAGAATGACATAGATAGATAGATAGATAGATAGATAGATAGATAGAAGATAGATAAACTGAGTGAAAAACGGATTATTATTAGATAATTAAAATAATCCAGTGAGATAAGATAAATAGATAGATAATGGCTCGTGATAAAAACATTAAAAAACAGATAGATATAGAGATTTGTGTGTGGAGATTTTAATAGCACCAATTACAATGACATAGATAGATGTTTTAGATAGATAGAAGGATACACTAGATAGATAGAAAGATAGAGACAAGGAAAGAGATAGAGATAGATATTAATACAATGAGAAAGAATTGAGGATAGATAGATAGAGAGATAGATAGATAGATAGATAGATAGATAGATAGACTGATTTTCATTGGTATAGGGGGATAGAGGAATTGTGAAATTAAGAGAGGGAAACTTTTTAGATAGAGATGTGTTTCCAGTAATTGTTTTTTTTAATTATAGATTAATTTTTAAACGAGATTCGAAAGAGACAATAAAATAAACAAGAGAAATAAATTTTTTTAACCAGGGACTGAGATAGGCACAAAGCTGACAGATAGATATGTTGAAAGGAAACGATAAGACGCCGATGAGGAGATTCACTGAGATAGATAGAAAGATAAGAGCAAAAGAAAAGACGAGACAAAGACAGAAATAACTTACTGTATGTGAGAGAGAGAGAAAGATGAAAATAGAGAGAGTGGGCAAGAAAGTTTGTTGCTGCCTAGGTTGGTTTAATAGTGTTCTCTAAAATTCCAACGAAAACCAGATGATAGATTTTTGGAGATAGACCGACATGAAAATTATTTTCTAATTAGAAAGACTAAATTAAAACCGCCATCCAATATGAATGGGGAAGGATTTTTTTTAGATAGATAGATATATACACCTCCAGAAAGATAGATAGATAGATAGAGGGAAAGAAAATTGTTAAAAATTATAATGTACACACACACAGACAAATTTATGAAATATATATATATATGAATAGAAACATAGATATAAAAATATATATATAGATATAGATATGAGGATATTGAGTTAGTAGATAGATAGATCTATATATATATATATATATATATATAGGTATATATATATATATATATATATACAGAAGTTGGTTTGATATATATAGAGGATTTTTTATGTTTACATGATCTTATATATAAATAGAGATGAATATATATTTGTAGATAGATATATATATATATATGTGTGTGTGTGATTTTTTGTTAAAATTTGAGTTAAAGAAAGATAAAAAATCTTGAGATATTTTGTTAGAGATGAAAATAATAGAATGATAGATGATTAGATAGATAGATGGATAGATAGACAGATAGAGTTAGATAGATAAATTAGATAATTGATAGATAAATAGATCTTGACTTAAGAATCTTTCTTCTTTTTTATAGGCTTTAGATAGATAGATCTATCAAGTTTATAGATAGATAGATAGATATAGAGGAACTGATAATATAGATAGATAGATGTATTTTTATAGACAAAGTAAGATGAATAGCTTAGATAAATAGATATATATAAATAGATAGGATAGATAGATAGATAGATAGATAGTGATATTTGTGTCTTAGTCGTTATAGGCCAATATCTGGAGAACATTTGATGAATAGGCTTAGATAAAATAGATACAATGGGTGATTAAAAGATAGATAGAAAACACAAGAGGCAAGTCATGAGTAAGTAAGTTTAGATAGATGATCTTGAGATAGGGGGGGAGATGAATGGCTTTAATAAAAATAGATAGATAGATAGATGGATATTTAGATAGGATTTTCAGTTCATTGATTAAAGATAGCTTTTTTCCGAGATAATTAGATCTGTTACGTGGAGATAGAAAATGATGATAGATAGATAGAGAGACACATAGACAGATAGATAGATATGAGGTTAGTCGACATTTAACAAGGAATTATTGAGATAGACAAATAGATAATTTAAATAGGCTGACATAGATAAATAAATAAATGACAAGATTTTCATAAGCTGATAGATTGAGCAAAGATTTTAGATTTTTTGAGATAGACAAATAGAGATGAATTCATATTTAGACAGAGTTAGATAGACAGGATAGATAGATAACTAATTTTTATATGATTTTAGAGGCATAGTATTAGATATTAGCGACAAGCAGAATAGGCAGTGATAGATTATTTTAGCATCAAATAAATATCATGATTTTCATTAAAAAAGATTTTAGATAGATAGGCGTTTATGGACAAATAAAATATCAATATTTTCATAGATAATAGATAGGGGAACTTTTTGTTTAAGATATTTCTTTGACATGACAGGTCAGATAGATATTTAAGAGACAGACAAATAGAGATGAATATTTAAGGAAAATAGATAGAATTGAGATAGATCCATGAGATCAGATAGATATGAGGGGAGACTGAGTGCCACATAAAGACGGTAACATGAAAACAGAAATAAGAAAACCAAGAGGTTTATAGAAATCCAACAAGGATTCGATCAACTAGATAGAATATTTAATATTCAAGATTTGAAAATGAGGTCTGGATAGATTTTCAAAATGAGATTCGGAAAGTGGAGATGAATAGGCTTAGTTATAAAGATAGATAGATAGATAGATAGATAGATAGGGATAGAGTTGTCCAGAGCTGACCTTCATAAAGATAGATAGATAGATAGATAAATAGAGAGAATAGGCTTAGATAGATAGAGGTGATAGAAAGATAAATAGATAGAAAATCAACATTCGAGGTTTTTTATAGATAGATAGATAGATTTTAGATAGAAACGGAAGAGATGAATAGGACTGATAGATAGATAGATAGGACGGAATAAATAGTCAGAGGTTCGTTCACGACAATAAAAGATAGATAGATAGATCTTAGGCGGAAACAAGTCCTTTGACAATAGATAGATTTGATACATAGTTTAGATAAACAAGATTAAAGATAGATAGATAGATAGATGTATTTCCCAAACTGATAAGATAGATATTCAGGTCTTGAGTTACCACTGATAGAGATGAATAAAGAGTAAGGATAGATAGATAGATAAAAGAACAATTAGGATAATATTTATATTTTAAATTAAAAGCTAAAATAGAAAATCTTGAGATAGAAATTTAGATGAATAAATGATTATTTAAATTAGATAAACGTAGATAGATAGATAGTTTATTGGCGAGGATAATGATGAGAAGATTAAATAGATCTTGATAAACTAGAGATGAATAGCCTGAAGAAAAGGTTCGGGTTAGAGAGATTTTTCCTTGATAGATAGATAGATGAGGAGAATGGAGTTAAAAGAGTAGATAGATAGATCTGATGATTAGAAAAAAAAAAAACGAAGCATTTAAATAGATACTTTAGATAGATAGATAGATAGACAATAGATAAAAAGAAGATATATTAGGGGACGATGATTTAAAGATTGTTTAGATAATCTATAGAAGCCAAATAGAGATGAATAGGATTTAAAATGAAGATGAGATAGAACTAATAATAGAATATTAGTGGCTTTACTAGTTTTAAAGTTAAAAGATAGATAGATTTAAGAGGAGATAGACAAATAGTCGACATGAAATTTATTGAGAAATAGATCGATAGATAGATAAAACGGAGATAGATGAACCAAGATAGATGTTAGTGTGGAGTTAAAGATAGTTAGATAGATATCTGAGAAAAACAAATAGAGATGAATAATAAAGATAGAAATTTTCTGATAGATTGAGTAGAAATCCATAATAATATTGGATATTTTAAAATAAAAGATAGATAGTTCAGGTTCTTGGAAACGATGAGTTTCTTAGCCATTGTTGTCACAATAGATAGATAGATACATAGATAGATTTTAGATAGATAGATAGAAAAAGAGTTCTGATAAAAGATAGAAAGATGAATCATACATTGGATGACAAAAAATTAAAATGATGGATAGATAGATTTATAGGTAGATAGATAGATAGATAAGGAGGAGACAAAAAAGATAGATAGAGGATCTTGAATTTTACATTTAGATGAATAATATAGATAGATAGATAGATAATAGATAATATATATAGATATTCCAAGAAGGTTGATATAAAGATATAAATAAATCTGAGATAGAAAAAAACAAACAACTTGAGATAGATAGATAGATAGATAGATAGTAGGATAGTTGATGGAAGGTGAGTTAAAAAAGATGATAGATAGATCTTGGAGATAGACGGCAATAGAGATGAAAACCGAGATAGATTAGGAGATAGATAGATAGATAGATAGATGAGGATCCCGATCGTTAAATATATAGATAGATCTTGAGATAAACAAATAGAAATGAATAGGACTGAGATAGAGAAAGATAGATAGATAGATAGATGATATGAGGAGGCTGGAGTTAAAGATAGATAGATAGATCTTGAGATAGACAAATAGAGATGAATAGGCTGAGATAGATAGATAGATATGAGATAGATAGATAGGATAGATAGATAGATATGAGAGGTTGAGTTAAGATAGATAGATAGGATCTTGAGATAGACAACAGATGAATAGGTTGAGATAGATAGATAGATAGATAGATAGATAGATAGGATAGATAGATAAGGAGGAGGTCATATAGTTAATATTATTTTTGTAGGGATATATTAACAATGCAATTCTGATATACAGGAAATACGTTGATTGTTTAGGTAAAATATTTGGAAAAATAGATAGCTTCTAGAAAGAAAAGAAAAAAAAAAATAAATATAAAACTCACCTATCAATAATCAAATTTATATCTAAAAATTATTATTGAAAGAGAAATAATAGATAGGTCTGTAATAGATCAGATCTTCATAATTTTATCTACCAGTGATGAGAGTTTAGTTTTTGGATTTTACTAGAATTTCTTTAGCAGATTTGTCAACAAGTAGGTTTAGTGTATAAGGTTTAATAGATAGATAGTCCCAAGTTTATCTTTCATATTAATATTTTTAATCTTTCAACAAGGTCATTGTTAATCTTTAATGTGAATGACTTGAACTTATTTGGACTAAACCCTATGAAACATTATGTAGATATGTCATGCAGTAACCGCAAGTTGTATGGCTTTCTGAATGACATGTCTAATTTAATGAAGAAAAATAACGTTTATTAAAATTTTGTTTGTTTTGTTTCATTCTCATTTGTTCAGGCACACACAAGTTTAGGAAAAGCTGGTGCTAAAGGGAATAATGATTAAATGCCTGACTAACTGTCCCTAACTTATTACTTGTTGTTGATACAGTTTTGATTATCATACATAACAATAAATGATTAGGTTAAAATATTTCTTTAATTTTCTAAACTTATGACTGAAGGAATATCTCAGTATTTTACACCATTGGTGACTTTAACAGGAAGTGGAAACATCCTTTGCTTTAAGAAAAAAAATGTTCATTTTAATTTTTTCTCTGGAAAGATATATATATATATATATATATATATATATATATGAATATATATCAAATAGACATAAATATGGAAATAAAAAAATTTTCTTTTATTTACTAGTTACTATTACAAAATAAAATTCACACCCACATATAATAAAATGAAAACTCACCAGAGGCTTGAACACAAAAATTGGTTTGTCTTGGACTTTAGGATGGGGCGGCAGTTTCTACATGATTTCTGAGTCATCACTTTTCTGAATTTGAACTTTCAATATCTTTTACCCAGCATTGAGCAGTTCCCGCAACCTTTCAAAAAAAATTACAATAAATAGAAGGGTAAAATTTATAAAATATTAATTAATCAATAAATAAATATTAATATAGATTTTTGAGTTTTGTTATAATAACAGAAATGCTTTTATTTTATTAAGAATTTATTAAGAATATCAATAATAAATATTTTGTAATGCCTGAAAATAAAAAAACATTTCTTAATGCAAAAACTTCAGTGTTTATTTTGCAAACACAGACACACATATATATATATATATATATATATTTATTCATTCATGGATATCACAAGTAGGTTTTTATTGTTTATTATATCCATAATGGAGTAAATTCTGAAAGTAGTAGAGAAAAATATGAAAAAAAACGATCCCATATATTTTTTTAGTTATAAATCCACATTTGAACCATATGTTTTATAATTATTTTAAAAATATGTACTTCATTGCAACACAGAAATTACCATGTTTTTAAACCAAAACCTAAATCTTAAATTCAACTGGCATTGCTTTTGAAAATGTAACTAAACTCAAATTTTAAGTTTCAAACATGGTTTTTCTGCATTGCTCTGACTGTTCTTTTATTTTTATTATTAGACATAGATAGTTCTAGAGATTTTATAGATAGAGATAGAGAGAGAGATAAATAAATATAGATAGAGAGAGAAAGAGATAGAGATAAAGATAGATAGAGATAGAGATAGAGATAGAGATTTAGAGATAGAGATAGATAGAGATAGAGATAGAGAGAGATAGATAGAGATAGAGATAGATAGAGATAGATATAGAGATAGATAGGAGATAGAGATAGATAGAGATAGAGATATAGATAGAGTTAGAGATAGATAGAGATAGATAGGAGATATAGATAGATAGAGATAGATAGAGATAGAGAGATACAGAGATATAGAGATAGATAGAGATATAGAGATAGAGATGAGATAGATAGATAGATGTTTAGATAGAGAGATAGAGAGAGATAGATAGAGATAGATAGAGATAGATAGAGATAGATAGATAGATAGAGATAGAGCACAGCTGTTTAAAACCCTTGTTTTTGTCATATTGAAAATCCATCCAACATGGTGCGTGAACTAAATATTTGGCAAAAAAAATCTCATCTGTTAGTAACATTTTTAAACACTCATAGAATGTAAAGTTCTTAAAGAAAACCTATGCCAAAGGTTTTCCTGAACTTTGATGACTTGGCTGTCCAAAATGGTAATATCAAGATTGAATAATGCAAACTGACGGTGAAAATTCAATTGAACGTTTTCATCAATTAGATGTGTTTGGACCTTTTAGGCGAGAAATAAGATCCAGACAGCTATTTTTGGCACATGGAATTATTCTCTGGTAATTAATCTTCGATTTGGCTGTGGAAATGTCACTGAGAGTGTTAGCATTAAGAAAATTATCCCTTTTTTATGAAAAACATTTATTTTGCTTCAAATAACATCATTCAAAAGTCATTAATTTTTTTCATTTGGCATGAACGGAATTAAAAAGAAAGGCTAAATGGCGAGGGAAATGGGACTGTAAAAAGTCGATACATCCATCAAAAAACAGATGATACACAGAGCTAAGTGTTGTTGTAATCACCGTCACGGGGTGTTAAAACAAAACAAAAGTAAAGAGACCAAGCCATTGTTATGAACATGGTTGTATGAAGCTGGAGTAATTGGGGACCCCTTTTTTTTTTTTAGACTCTTTGCTTTTATCTGGGACATGGTGGGGTTTTATTACAACTTGTTCTAAGGTTTATTGTCCGTTTATTGCTGTTTTGGTCCATCACTAGAAGAAAAGGTTTGGTTTATTTTCCTTATCGCTATTTTTAGGGAAAAAAAAGTTTGGTTTCTGGGGGTTAGAATTCCAAATATGTACTGCCTTTTACTTAAAGATTTTTTATTGTGTCAATTTTTAACCCTTGGCATTAACATTTTATAATTGAAAATTACCAAAGGATTTTGTCACATTTTGAATGTCTAGGAATGTTTTTTTTTTGAAACTCTCAATTTATGCCCTGAAATTTCCTACTAATTAGTACTGATTCCTGATTTCAAAAAGAAAAAAAAAAAAAGATTAACGGCCGAAAATGGGAAAATGATTTGTTTAGAATAAGAAAATTCTAAAAATTTAAACTATTTTTCAATTATTTTACCCACTGCATAAAAATTTACAGCATTTTACCATATAATTTATTTTTTAAATGAAAGTTTATATCTTTTGCTTTCAGAAAATAAAACAGTTTCATGGGTTAGATCAAATTTTTTATATTTGAAAATGGTTTAGGTGATGATTTTAATTAATTTTCAATATTTTACCCCAAAAAACTGAAAACCCATATTTTGAGAGAAAATACGCTGTGACAAAATGACTTATATATTTTGTGAAAATTTAAATGGGAAAAGAAAATATTTAGATAGACCAAACCGAAAAATATTGACTTTATTTAAGTTCAGTGGTCTGTAGGAAACCTCAAACATAAGGGAGAATAGAGATATAGAGATAGATATAGAGAGATATATATAGATAGATAGAGATAGAGATAGAGAGAGATAGATAGAGATAGATATAGATCATGTGGGTCATACGTGCACGACAACCAACAGTTGATGTGTTTGTGTCATGTGCATATTTATTTTCTGCTCACAAATACAAAAGGAAAAGAGATGGGGAAAAATCATTGCATTTCCCGCACAGTTTAATAAATGGTAAAAACAAAAAAAAAACGCAATAAATAAACAAAATAGGATCGGTCGTTGCACACTTCAACCAATAATTTGATATCGTCGATATGCTTTAGCATCTTCATTCAGATAGATAGAAAGACGATAATTATTGATGAAATTTGTTTTCAAACGGCATTTTCACATAGAGGGACTAAACAGGATTTAAACATATCGGGGAGCATAGTTATCTACAGGGACAATTGTAATACATGGTAGATGACATCTTGCTTTCTAAAGTTATTTTCTTTGTTTATATATATTTCGACATTTTCATTTTAGTCAAATAGATAGATAGATAGATAGATAGATAGATAGATAGATAGATAGATAGATAGATAGATAGATAGATAGAGAGATAGATATATATAGAGATAGATAGAGAGAGATAGAGATAGATAGATAGATAGATAGATAGATAGATAGATAGATAGATAGATAGATAGATAGAGAATAGAGATAATAGATAGAGAGATAGATAGATAGATAGATAGATAGATAGATAGATAGATAGATAGATAGATAGATAGATAGATAGATAGATAGAGATAGATAGATAGATAGATAGATAGATAGATAGATAGATAGATAGATAGATAGATAGATAGATAGATAGATAGATAGATAGATAGATAGATAGATAGATAGATAGATAGATAGATAGATAGAGATAGATAGATAGAGATAGATAGATAGATAGATAGATAGATAGATAGATAGATAGATAGATAGATAGATAGATAGATAGAGAGAGATAGATAGATAGATAGATAGATAGATAGATAGATATATATATATAGATAGATAGATAGATAGATAGATATATATGCAATGTAGGGGACATATATAGCATTACGTGGTTGACCAAAATCTAAATTCAAAGGCTTCGATATGTTTGGATATTTAATATGGCCTTGAAGAACATTCTATTAAGAACAAAATCACTTAAACAGAGAGCACTGTTGTGTAATGGAAGCAAAAGTTTTAGTGTGACCCATATGACTGATGTGAGTTTTACTGTCCCTTTTCATGCCAGAATCGTCAGCAAAAGATTTTACATATCTAATGCAAAATTTATAAATCATCGATATATTTCACGAAATGAAAACTAGCGCGACTATTAACGAAACATATTGTAATCTTTAATGTTACAAAAAAATATATATCGTCAAGAAGAGAGAGAGAGGTAGAGAGAAAGAGAAGAATCTCCCTCTCTCTCATGAATTAATGCAACTCATTGGCATATGTCAAAATATATAATTACAAGAATTTATATATATATATATATAAATTTTGTCAAAAGACAGAAAAAGGACAAAAGGAAGAAAAAAAGGAATGAATGATATACATCATCTCTACAGCGTCTTCAATATACAAATTACAAACCGTATATTATGTATCTCCATATTCGATAACTGCTTTTATGTGGCTTTTGTGCGTATTACAAAACGCGCAGTGCGTGACAACACCTTTAGAATTTTATATTCTTCATTTACTTACCTTACTTATTTGGTTTTTTTTCCAAAAAAAAAACTCAGAATTTCACAATGGATCAATGCCAAGACGCGATAACACACTAAAATCAAGGGAGTTGGTAAAATGAATTTTATTATCATTGACAGGTAAATTCTATGGCAGAAGTGACTAAGGAACAAAAATCAATTATTTTCAAAATATACAGTAGATCTTTTAACATCATTGAAAACGCAAAAGGTCAACATTTAGTGGTTCCTTAGGGCACAAAAATGCAGAAACTGCAAATGAAATTACCATACTATATATATATATATATATATAAATATTATATATATTTATAATGGGAAAATGTATCTAAATTGTAAGTATTTTCATCAGACTAATAATGGTTTAGTGATGGAAAAATGGAAAATTAATGTTCCAAATTTCGTTCTTTCGGAAGAAATTTTAATTAAACGATTGATTGATCCCAGTGGATGGAACTTATCAAATTTAGTTGGAATTATCTAGCAAGAATTTTTATTTGTAAATATTTTATTTTAATTTATTGGGCCTAATATATATGTTTTTAGTGATATTAATATATGAGGTGGATATATATATATATATATATTAGTCTGAAGACGCATAGAACATAGAACGAACCCAGAATTGGAATTGTCTTCCGATTAACACAATATATAACCATTATATATATACATGATATTAAGGTTATATGGAAACTTATTCAGATGTCACCTGTTTTATCCAAGTGTATTTTAGTTTAGGCAAAGAACATATGGCGGTGATGGTATTTATGAATTGCAGATGGAGAGAAAGCACCAATTATTAATATTTCGACTAAATCCTCCCCAGTTGTACCGCCATGAAAAGAATAACGGCTTGTGATCAACAACATGAGGTGGATAATTGATTAAAATAGATAGATAGATAGATAGATAGATTTTATATGATGATAGATAGATAGATAGATAGGAAAGATTCAGTAGATAGTGGGGACTTAGAAAATGGGTGGATAATGTTTAGGTAGGTGTAGATAGTTTTTCTACTGAGTAGATTTCCTGTTGAGTAGATTGTATCATTGACTGTTTTATTGGTTGTTGGTCTTTCCTTTCATGAGTTTTTTAATTTTATTTTAGTACAATGAGTGGACTCGTTTTACAAATATATTTTATATTTGTGATAGATAGGATAGATAGATAAGAGATAGATAGATATAGAGATTGAGATAGGTAGATAGATAGATAGATAGATAGATAGATAGATAGATAGATAGACAGATAGATAGATAGACAGAGATGGGTAGATAGAGGGGACAGATAGAGATAGATAGATAGAGAGATAGATATGAATAGAGATACAGATAGATAGATAGATATATAGATAGGATGATAGATAGACAGATAGACTAGATAGATAGATATGAATAGACATAGATAGGTAGATAGAGAGATAGGTAGAAAGTAGAGAAAAGGTAGAGATAGAAAAAGATAGAAAGATAGATAGATAGATAGATAGATAAATAGATATATGTAGATAGACAGAGATTGATAGATAGATAGATAGACAGACAGAGATAGATAGATAGAGATAGAGATAGATAGATATATATATGATAGATAGATAGATATATAAAGAGAGATATAATATATATAGAAAATATGTAAATCTTAAATTTATAGATTTTAAGTAATATGGTATAGACTTGTATTAGACAGATAGATAAAAATCATTTATTTAAGGCAAACAATTTATGGTACAGTATAAAAAGTGTTCAATGCAATTAAAAGAAATAAGTTGAAGAATATACATTTAAATACAAAATAGGTTTGTAATGCGCTTTCATTAAAGTGGGGTAATCACATATGGAGGTAAATACAAAAGTTAATTTGAAAAAATGTGAACACACTTAAGAAAGGTAAAACTATGAACAAAATCGTTTTATCAAATTACGAAATGTTTTCTGAAGAACACATTTTCTCGACATATGGCATTAAAATTGGTGGCTCAATTCAGAAATTGAAAATGTTTTAGCAGTTTTCCTCACTGGAAACATGCGTTAAATCTAACGTACTCTGAAATTCGTGCAGGCCAGTGGGGATAAATTAACTATTGAAATGACTTTATTAAATTAAGATTACGAAAGAAATCTTTGACAGAGAACGGAATTCATAAATTGATATCTGAATCCTAATAAGTACCGAAAATGATAATTATATGATTTGATTATCTATAAATTTGAATGTGTAAACTTAGCAATGGCATGTGAACTGATTAGTCAAACATTAGAAACAATTTTATGAACTCGAATGTTTTTGTCCTCTAATTGACGTATTATTCTCTGTTCCATTTGACTAATTCTCAAGAGTCACTGAATACATACACTATGGACTTACTATCTCATGTATTACAGAAATAATCTCTGGTCAAAACAGAACTTAGTAAGGTTCTCAACCATAACCGAATTTATATCTTATTTGTCATTCTGAAATAATAACGCATGACTACAGAACATGGATATGAAGGGAGAATACAAAAGATTATTTTTATGTTTGAATTTCTACGATATAATCTTCATCTTTGTTTGAACAGAACGTACACTATCCGATAACTTCCTCAGGTTTATATCGACATTGATAACCTCATGGAATTCGCAAGACAAACACTATTTAATATACAATTGTGAGAGGTCTTAAATTCTTTGCCTAAATCGGTTATCGTATAGTTTTATTTTATTTAGTACTGTTCAGTTATTTCCCGTTGATTTGGCAGGTGAAATTAAATAGACACTACCCAGGGTGAGGAATTGGCGTCAATTCACCAGGCCTCAAGTAGAATCAGTGAGATATATTTGGTAAATATGTTTGGAAAATTTAACTCCAGCTCATTCATACGCTTCATAACGTACAGACTTCTTCAAATTACAAACAAAGGGTCAGATTATATAAAAATTGAATATTGTTGCGATATATAGGATGGTTCAGTTCTCGTCTTCTTTTTATGCAGACTTATTGCCTAATATTCATTTGAACCATGCAACTTATTTCTAACAGACTGAACGTCACAAAGGCTAACGTTATTCTATCACTATTTCCCAAGCAAATTTGCAGTATATTTGTATAGTATTTACCAGTTCGGACCTTCTCATCAGGAAGGAATCACTTTCTACCTTCTCATCATGGACTTGCTACTTCGGACCTTCTCGTCTACGAATCGTATATAGGAAAAAAATCCATATAGGAATCTTCACTTCGGACAAAATAGGACATAAAAAACTTGTCACTTTGATTGCATCTTCTCATAAAAGGAATCGTCCTTGGACCATTCTCATCTAGGAAAATGTTCACTTCAGACATTTCAAATGGAATCTTCACTTCG